ATTCCTTATTCCACATGTAGTATTACTGTTTTCTAGTAGTTATTACCTTTTGATAGAAATTATTTATGCATACAGATAAAATATATCTTACGATTAAAATTCACATTGACATTTGTAGTTTCACAAAGCTTAGAAGCACTATTAAAACTGATATGCACTGAAGTTAGTGGGTTTGTGAAAATTTATTGAATCAAAGAAAGTTAGTGAGCTGGCTATAGGTCTTTGGTGTTGTTAATCAAATTTAAAATATAATCTCTAATGCTTACGTCCAATACTTAAGATGCTGAAGACTAAATAAAAGATTTATATCTATATTTTAACTATAAATGGGAACCATATCATCAGACGAACCGATAAACTATTAAAAAGAACTTGACTAATTTTGTGAGAAGAGGTGAAGCTATTTCACCCAAGATGATGATGCTCGAAGAGAAAATATTTATGATCTGAATAAAAATCTGCCTATCAAAGAGGTGTCCCCAAAATGCTGAGGACTGAAAACCATAGCTCTGACGCTCACCGGCTGAGTTCTGGGGTGAAGCATTTCACCACTGTGTGCCTCCAACCCTCCATCCGGCAGGCTCACAGGTAGAGGGTGCCTTTGAGATTTCAATCTGCTAATGCTTCCAACAATGCCTGATACAGATTGGCTGCTTTCTTTTACCTTCATCCACGGACTTACAGAATGCAGACTGTATATACCATCCAGAATGTATTGGTGATAATTCAATGATTTGCTAGAATAGGCCTCAGTGATTTGGTAGAATAGTTAGGAAAAATGATTTTTTCTCATGAAGGACAGTTAAAACTGGGGAATAAACACCAACGCATTTTCCCTCTGTCCAAAAGCTTTACAAAGCATGAGGAATGAGTTATGTACAGATAATTTCCTTAAATGCAAAATGTTTTCACTAGAAAAAAATTAAATAGCCGTATGAGAATCAGTTTATTAGCAAAAAGCGGTTGCAGAAAGACACAAAGCATTTGCTAGTTTGATTTAGTTTGCATATTAATGCAACTTGACTGTGACAATATTACAATCTCATACTCTTCTCTTTGAGTGGCACAATTTTCTTGTCACAGGAAGTTCACTGTTTCAAAACTTAATCAAAAATTTATCTGAGTAACTCCTGGCAAGGATCACGAAATTATGCAATACCATTTCTTAATTAGGCCCAGTTGCGTTTTTTATAATTTGAAGTGAAACCCCACACTTTCCCCCACTGATGTTAGTACACATAATTCAGATTTCATAAGAAGTTTTTTGTTGCCAAAATTATTTAAAATATTTAAACTTAAAGATTATTTAAAATATTTAAACAGTACGAATTTCACAGTTAAATTTTGTTACTTTGTCTGTTGAAAATTTCATTTTAACCTGTAGAGGCATAGTGAAATGCCAATCACAAATAGCCCAAAAGTCAAAGATAGTGCACTGGTGCCACATCCTATTGGTGTGATTTCATCCTTAACACCCTGAGCATCATTGCTGGATGTGCCTTCCCCCCCCCCCCCCCCCCCCCCCGCAAAAGTCCTTTTAGAGGGATCCCAGCAGGGAACTTTGGAGTTTACAATGCTCTCAAATATTATGTTTGTTCAATAGAGCTGATTCTTTCTGGTGAATTCTATAGCACCCTGGAGCTGTGTAAAAGTCCGAAGTTCTTTGAAGGATACTGAAGCTGCTGGGGGAAGCTACAGAAGCCCTGGGCTGAAGTGTTTTCGCCTCTGCCGCTGAGGGCTTTCTAAGCAGAGAGCAGTAAATCGTGCTCTAAACCTCTTAATAATTAGTATGCTTTGGTCTTCATTCATGGGCAACGCCTTTGCAAAGGACAATACAGAACTGTACTTCCCCAGTGGCAGAAAGGCAATGTCAAAGGAGAGGTTAAGTTTTGTAAGATGACAATAAGAGAGTAGAAACAAATATCCATTTGATAGATAACAAATAAAAATGGGTTGTTAGATTTTACTGAGTGCATTAAAAATCTTATTTAGGTCTGAGTGATAGTACAGCAGGGTAGGGTAATTGCCTTGCATGCAGTCGACTGGGGTTTGATTCCCAACATCCCATACAGTCTCTTGAGCACCGTCAGGAGGGATCCCTAAGCACAGAGCCAGGTTAGTAAACCCTGAGCACAGCTGGGTGTGGCCCCCGAAGAAAAGAAAAAAACAAACAAAAACCTAATTTAGAATGGAACAGTATTCCAGCTACGCAGTTTCACGAAAATCTTTCTAAAAGTTCTTTACTGGTTTTGTTCTTATAAACATCCTTTAAAAATGACAAGTAGAATGGTGGGAAATGTACACTGGTGAAGGGGCGGGTGTTGGAACATTGACTGAAACCCAATCATAAACAACTTTGTAACAACTGTGTATCTCACAGGTGATTCAGTTAAAAAATATATCACGTTTAATAGATGAAACTTTGTGACTCTCTATAGTAACATGTTAAAATGGCCCTCACTTTGCAATCTTTGTATTGAAATCTATCTCTAAGGATTTACTCCTGTTTACCTGAAACTAAATGTCAGCTGTATTTCAACTGAAAAACAAAAAACAAAAAAACCAGAAATCATTTCCATTTAAAGACATGGCTGGCTGAAAAAGCAGACTGTGTGGGAACTACAGAACACCCCAGTCTAGAGCTCATGCCACCCATGCCCTTTTCTCCACCAGCATGCGGGGGATGGGGTGGGGGGGTGGGGGGGTGCTGTCAGAAATGAGGACCTCCGGTCCCAGTCTGAACTCACTGCGTCCCGGTACAACAGGTGTTTAACTCTGGCTGGAAGCCCGCATGTGCTTTAAGACAACAGACTGGAAGGGCAGCGAAGTGAGGGTCTAGTCACCCCGGCTCAGACACCTCCCAGGGGCCCCGAAAGGGACAGGGGCACAGCATCTACTATTTAAAGGAGCCTCAGGGTGATAGATTCTTAATAGAATCTATCTATTAAGATAGATTCTTAATTTAGAGCATTAAGAATCTATCGCTTAAATGTTTTGCAGGGAGGGGCCCATACTTGGCTATGTTCAGGGCTTACTCCTGGCTCATGCTTAGGGATCACTCCTGGTGGGCTCTGGGGACCATACAGGGTTTGAGGAACTGAACCCAGCTCAGACATTTGCAAGGCAAGCACCTTTGCTGCTGTACTATTTCTCTGGCCCTCTTAAAAATATTTTAACCAAAGGGCTGAAGCAATAGTACATCAGGTAGGGTGTTTGCCTTGCACGTGGCCGACCCAGATTTGATTCCCAGCATCCCATATGGTCCCTCGAGCACCGCCAGGAGTATGCATTGCTGGGTATGACCCCAAAAGAAAAAAATATATATATGTACATATATATATATATATTTAACCCAAAGCCTTGCACGCAGTCAACCTGGGTTCAATCACTGGCATCCCGTATCGTTTCCTGAGCCCGCCAGGAGTGATTCCTGAGTGCAGAGCCAGGTGTTACCCCTCAGCATCAGCAGGTATGGCCCCAGAACAAAACAGAAGAACAACTTTAAGACTAAAACTTCCCATCACGTCAATGAGTCTTACCTGCATTCTCTAATTAGTTTATTCTCCAATTTAGTTCTCAAGTAATGGTGCAAGGTCAGAAAAACAGGTATTATTTTTGTTATTTTTGGCCACATTCAGCTGTGCTTAGGGATTACTGTTGGCAGGGCTCAGGGGACCATATATGGTATTGGTGTGCACATACCAGCCTACATATCAGGTAGACTGTGTGCAAGTAAAACTCCATACCTGCTGTATTGATCTCTCCAGCTCCAGTACACATATATCCAGTTGTTACTCTTCAATATACTGATTGGTAATTACACATCTGAGAACAGATGTTTTTAAAAAAGATAAGGTTTCCATCCTATGTAAATGTGTACTTGCCCTTTTTTAAAAGGTATAATTTCAATGGTAACTGTACAAAACAAACATATTAGTAAATTTATTTTAATCCAACATATATTTCTGCCTAGTAAGCTTTAAGTAAACAGTAGGTCTATAATGGTCAGACTTGTAATGTCCAGCTAAAATCGAGATTCCAGTGTACTGCGCTGGAGAGATAGCACAGTGGGCAGGGCTCTTGCACAGCTTAGAGCGAACCTGGTTCAATCTCTCGCATCCCATCTGGTCCCCTGAGCACCACAGGAATAATTCCTGAGTGCAGAGCTATGAGTAAGACCTGAGCATAACCAGGTGTGGCCCCCAAGAAAATATAAACAAAACAAAAAGCCAGGGTTTTAGAGTAATTTGGGGATTATTTTGTTCAGACAAAGGTAACAAACACATAAATCTTTCATATTTAATTACAAAAAACTGTGACCTTGTTGCTCACTTTACAAAATAAATTTATATGAAAGCATACTTTACTAATGAGAAAACTACCAACTGCGTGTTACTATACTCCAAGTGGCAATGCGATTTCAAGCATTCTTGAAACACTGAATTATAATCAAAACTATTGCAAAGTGATCTGTTACAGGTAGAAAACTTGAACAGTATAAAGACAGACCCCTCTTTCACCTAGAGACTATCACATTTCACATAATCATGATGTTGGAGATCTTGATATGTAGCTATAAATAATTTTTTGTAGTTAATATTTTAAATAAACATTTAAAAGTTATGTTGCCTCAAGGTAACTACGTTAGATAAATACATAACAATACTATTTTTTTAAAAAAGTTGTTGTTGGATTTGCCTCTAGAAATCTCCAATATGTGAGTTACACAAGAAAACTGCTCTAGCAATTATTTCCCATCTTAATGCAATTAAAAATGAAATCGCATATCTGAACACCTACCATACTCTAATACTTAGCTTAAAACTAACTTTGGTGGTTTAAAAAAAATAAATCCATCTTCAATGTAGAAAGATGTGTCACTAATAATAACATGCAAAGGAAGTATCCTAGGGGCGTTCCAAAATCACTTCAAGTAATAAAGAGCATTGCACTGGAACAGTGGCAAAGCCTCTCCAGTGAATGACTCATGAAGATGCGAAATGTGACTAATTTATTAAAAGTCACATATCAGTCATAATTTATTAAATGGTATCATGTGCTCCCATACCTCAGATCATCTATAAATAAACAAAATGAAAATATGCTTTCATAACAGCAAACCTAAATTTCTCATTGGGCAATAAAATAGCATAATTGAAGCAATTAAATTTAAGATACTTTCTTTATTAAATACACTATGATTTTTATACACCATTGAAAACAATGTCTATTTCATTTGTCTAAATGCAGCAGTAGTGCCCATATTTTTCCCCAAAATGTTATACTTAAACCTCAATTTATTATTGGAAAATAAATAGGCTAGGTTTTTGATATTTCTCCAGGTTTATCTACTATAAAGGAATTTCAGAGCATGAAGATAAAATGAAGCTGAAGTAAAGACCATTTTCAGATACTGATAATTAATCTTTAGAATTTGGTTACTTTGGCTTCTCATAATCCTGTACTTATATCACACAAGTATATTTCTGTTTTAGTAGCCCTAAAAGAGAAAACAATCACCTATACAGTAAATAGCAAATACTTTGGCAAGTGTGAACGAAAGTACAGGTAGATATTCACAAATACATTTTAACATCTCTTTCTTGTGACAAGGGCTACTAATCAGCGTGAAGGAGTTACGGTTATCTGATTGTAGAGTACTGGTGGGCATCAACAATACAGCCAATACATTTACCCCACACAGACATGAGAGCCATGGAGAAAGTCAAGCAAAGTGGTGAGAATAAAACAGAGGGGAAAAAAATCTGATAACATTATCTCTTTTTGTCTGGGGGGAAAAGTATTCCCTGAAGTGTGGAAAGTATTTTTAATTGTGATTTTTCTATTCCGTTATCTGGGGAGGGGTTGACGCAGATTCTGGCCATTCATACACATCTGGGAGCAGGGAATCATAATCACTTCGCCAAATTCTTTCTCTGACAAATTTGGCCTTGTCCTCAGGTTCTGGGTATCGGAAAGCCATTTTATTTGCATACAGGTATTCTGTAACCTGAAAAATAAAGCAAGATTATGCTGTAGGTTCTGAGTGTTAACCTATTTGAGAGGGAAAAGTCCTACTAAAGTAGAGAAATATAAATCTGAAAGAACGGCATTTTTCTTCCAAGTGAAGAAATCTGAACACCTGAAAGCTATGGAAGTTTGAAAGAGAAAATCACTTGCTATTTCTCAATAAGCTGATCACTAGTCTTTCTTTAACCCTGCAAACCAACAACTGAAAACCTTACCATGTGCTAGTTAAGCAGAGCTCCTTGGGTAATTTGCAGAGCCCACGTCATTCCCCAGTAGCTCTGCTTAGAGAGTACATACAAGCTGACGGGACTGGGGACAAAAACCTAAGCCAAGGTAAGCCAGAGGTGTTGGTTCTCGATTTTGGATTCTGAGGTAGGTTATTATGAATCAGGTGGTAGCCACTGAAAGTATGTGAGAGGCCAGAGACAGTCAGGGCGAGAACTGGAGAGCAAGGCACTTCACCACGCTCACCGAGTGCCAAGCATGTCCTGTGTTCTCATGCTATTTGATTTAAATTTCAAAAGAACTCTGTGAGGTAAGAAGTTCTTCTCATTTGATGTGTGAGGACACTGAGGTGTGAGGAATTAAAGGAACACTCGGAGATAGGCGAGCAGGACCCGACGCCACTTGAATCAGAAACTCGTGCCCCTACACAGTTAGGCCAGTTTATGGCATCCCACCCCAGCTGCCTTGACTGGAGTTCTGATCTTCGTAGTTTGGACCGAGAAAAAGATTGTGAGTGAGGATAAACCTTCAGTTGTGATGTAAAAGCAGATGGAATGAAAAGTTTTCACACGGGTCAGTGTAGTCCCTACCATACAGTCTAAACTTAGGGTTTATTTTATCTTTAAAAATCTTTAGAGTGTCCAAAAGGAGAGAGATAACAAAAGGGAATGCCCTGTCACAGAGGTAGGGTGGGATGGGGGTGGGGGGGATACTGGGATCAGAGGTGGTGGAGAATGGGCACTGGTGGAGGGATGGGTATTCGATCATTGTATAACTGAAACCCAAGCACAAAAATTTGTAAGTCTACAACTGTATCTCATGGTGTTTCACTAATAAAAATTTAAGGAAAACAAATAACAACAACAAAAAAATCTTTAGAGTGTCATCACAAATCACGACCATCCTGTTATTCATCAATTACCTCGAGCAGGCCCCAGGAACGTCTCCTTCATCCTAGCCCTGAGATTTTTAAGAAAGTGCTATATTCAAGGCTCTTTAGGAGAATGAGACCCATCATTGTTACTGGTATTTGGCATATTGGGTACGACACGGGGAGTTTGCCAGACTCTGCCATGTGGGCAGGCTACATTTGGTAGCCTGCCAGTTTGTCCAAAGTAGGAATGAGATAATAAGATGTCATAATAAGATGTTGCGTGGCCGCATTCGCGGTTCCGGAAGCTGGGTTTTATAGTCTCTGAGTCTTGGTCGTTGATGGGATTATAAGTAACCATTTAAAAATAAAGGTTTTACCTCCAATCTTTCCCTTGAAGGTAAGGCATGCGCAGGATACAATAGAGTGTCATATGGCCCCCAAATTCAAAGAATTATACTTTCCTTCTCCAAGTTCCATTACAAGTGGTGACTAGTATTAAAGTGTTAAATTAAAAAAAATTATTTGAAAAAAATTTTTAGCTCACGCCTGGCAGCGCTCAGGGTTTACTCCTGACTCTGAGCTCAGGGGTCACTCCTGGTGGCTTCAGGGAGCCATTTGTGGTGCTTTGGATGGAACCTGGGTTGATCACGTGCAAGGGCAAGCACCTATCCGCTGAACTATCACTCTATTCCCTAAACTCTTCAATTTTAATGGGCTGGAGTAAGAGTACAGCAGGAAGGGCGCTTGCCTTGCACGCGGCTGACCTGGGTTCAATCTTCAGTATTTCAGGTGGTGCCCTGAGCCCTGCCAGGAGTAATCCTTGAGCACAGAGTCAGGATTAAGCCTGGCACTGGGCACTGCCAGGTGTGGCCCCGAAATAAAACAGCCACAACAACAAAAAAATTTTAATTATAGAATAAAAAGATAAATTTAAAATGGCTGTTATTAAAAAGAATCCTTGGTCCTAGATGCTCAATCTCCCCTATTTTGTGATAGAAAATATTTTTCAACTTTCTAAATTATTATGGAAAACATTTGATTAATACATTAGTAAAGCTGAAGGACTGCATTCTCAGTGGAACTTAAGATCTGAGACACATCATCTGTTATTAGTATAGTATGATGACCAAATGCTATTCTCAGTTTTGAACTAAATTATATGAAAAACAGAATTTCCTACTTCCTCGAAGCCGAAGTAAACACACATTTTACACTCAATATAACTAAAGCCCCTGCACATCAATTATATACAGAAGATTCGTAAAGAATGGGAGGACAAGAATGGCAAGACGTTCTGAGACGTGGGGAACAATGCAACAGAATTCTCTGGGTTTTCTTTTGTCTTCAAGTTTCTCAGTTAGGGAGCTGAGGAACGCAGCAATCCTGAAATATGTCAGACATAGACCATGGAAGGGCAACAACAGCCTTTTCTCTAACCAAAGAATCTGAAGCAGATCAGTCTAGGAAGAGAGAAGTTGTTTAGACAGGATCTGCTTTGCTCTAGCCAAACAGCATAAGAGACATGAGCTTCCCCCACCCACTTTAGCAGTGGCACATGATGAGACTGTATTTCCACCAGGCAGTAGGGAGGCAGCCCAACACCCATACTAGGGTGGTGTCTCTCAAGTAAGGAGCCAGCATCTGCATCTCTGCTAGAGGTAAACAAGAATTGTATGCCAGCGCCTCCTAGTTGGCAGAGACCACCTGGGTGATGTGCAGGATGTAAATATGAGCTCATGTTTCAGTCTGAAAGAGCTTCAAGCCCCGGACAAAAGGTGGCTTCCATTCCCTTGCAATCTCTCACCACAGGCTGCACTGGGTATCCACAGAAGATACTGGGCTCAAGGTCTGAGAGAGGACTGAGTTCCCCTTGGTCATGGGGGCATGCATAAAGGAGATAATCAATGGCTAAGGGTTGGATTGGAGACAGGCACTATTGCTTTGGCCCCTAATCCTGACGTTGAAGAAAACCTTGAAAAACCAGAACAGAGAACTCCTTTAAAAAAAAAAAAAGCCAGGTGGGACTGGAGAAATAATAATGCAGAAGGTAAGGCACTTGCCTTACATGTGGTCAATTGGGGCTCAGTTTCTAACAATGCACATGGTGCTCCATGCCCTGCCAGGACTATTCCCTGAATGCAAAGTCAAGAGTTAAGTCCTCAGCACTGCTGGGTGCGGACCGCCTATCTCCCATAAAGGCCAGAGAGACTGCTCAAAGGGCTGGTACAGGCTTGTCTGAGGGAGGCCCAGGTTCAAACCTTAGCACCACATGGCCCCTGAACACTTCTGGAAGCCACCCCTGAGCACCAATCCTGATGTTGTCCCTAGCACCATCAGGTGTGTCCCCAAACACAGGTTTACAGTGCTGCACATGCAAAACTGTGATGAGAAACCCATTAAAAACCGTGCTTGGTGACTGCATGCAGATACACCCACAGGCCCTGGAAATGAACTGCCCTAAGGTCCTGTGAATCGGAGCCACTTGTCCTCAAAAAATTTTTTTTCTCTGTGTAGTTATAAATTATTACTTACTTTAATAGCAATGTTAATTGAAACTTCTTGAATATTGGAAAGTGGTGGGTAAAGTCTTCCTTGAGCTAGTTCCTTATCCGTCAACTGACTCGTGAGGGCCTAAAGAGAAAAATAGCTTTTGTTTTTGTTTGAATACACAGAAAATAAGGAGCTACCAAAAGGAAAATGTGTGGAGGGAGCAGACATTAATATAGGTAACATAATTCTCTTTCTTTCTAGCAGGAATACACTTACGGCATAATAGAAATTACAACAGTTTATCAATAAACAACAACAACAAAAAACGCAGATTTTTAACACTTACTAAGTCTCAATGTTTGGTTTATCTGCCACAATTACTATGAAAATTGTACATCATGTAAATATGAAACTATCGAAATGAGTCCTTCAAAACTCATGCTGCGAAGTCTGGCGCTCAGGTATGCCAGCGCTCCAAACCACTCCCTGTCCACTAAGAAAAAAAAGCAAGGAACAGCTGCTAAACCATCCTAGGGAGATGGGTCTCTGTGCCGAGAACTCTCGGGGGCAGGCGGGTTCCTCTTCTTGTGAGAAGGCCTTGCAGTCCCTACCCACATCCAACACCCTCGATACGTAACGGCCCAGCTCCACACTGAACCTCACCAAGCCACCAGTTCTCTGAGCTCTACGGCTCCTGGAGAAGCAGCTGCATATGTGGCTGTGCGACACCACCAAATTTCATAATACCGACAGCCCAGGAGGAGCACAGAAAATTTGAAGGGAAAGTTGTAAAGAAGGCCACAAAGCACAGTGAGCATAAATGGTAACAGAGAAGGCTTAACTAGCACCAACTAACTCAGTAAATCCTTGGACAATGACTTAGCAACACTGTTGTGAGATGTAATAATAACCACAAATCAACTTTTATTGATGTATTTTTATAATTCCATTTGCCATTTAGCTGTAATAAGCAATAAAAAATTTAAAAAATTAATTTGTTTGTGCCTGCTAAGAGGGCAGGCTTGAGGGGTGGATGGGAAACTGGGAACATCAGTGGAGGGAAGGTCACACTGGTGGCAGGATTGCTGCTGGAACACTGAATGCCTGATAAGTTTGAACAACTTTGTAAATCGTGGTGTTTAAATAAAAAAAATGCAAGAAATCTTATCTTAATCTGTCACACATATGACTTTAGAAATATATGATGCAAAAATGACCCGAGTTCGATTCCTCCGCCCCTCTCGGAGAGCCCGGCAAGCTACCGAGAGTATTTGATATGCCAGACACAGTAACAACAAAGTCTCCAATGGAGATGTTACTGGGCCCGCTCGAGCAAATCGACGATCAACGGGAGGGCCTTTACCTTACCTTACAATGTATAAATTATAAATAGGAAAAGATTTGTAGTGGGTAATCAAGATTGGTAATTCATGACAAAATTTTTATATAAAAATCTATAGGCAAATAAAATAATAGATGAGTCATTTCTTTCCACTCATAAGGCAGCACTTAGCCCATTCTCTTGCTAGCTCTGCTTTTAATTAAGATACACTTATCATTAAAATTCATCATTTATCAAATACCCAAACAATACTAAAACATTTACCTTTGCAGCTTCTAGGAAAACATGGTCACTAATATGCCGGGTATTACAGAGAATAACAGCTAAAGCGACACCTAGAAGACATTTAGAAGAGTGAAATACTAGGTTACTTTTCATAAAACAAAAGGTGGCAAATAAATTCTTAGATTTAAGAAAATAACAGTGATCCATCCCTACCTCTAAAATACCAGAAAGAAGCCAAGGTAAAACAGAAATTCAGAGTTAAAGTCAAAGTACATTTCTCACTGCTACAACGGTTATCATCAAATAACATCTTACCAATTTAGTTTTATTCCCTCCCCTTTTCCCCCTCGGTTTTGGGGCCACACCCCACAGTGCTCAGGACTTACTTCTGGCTCTGTTCTCAAGGATCACTCCTGAGAGCTTGGCGGGCTGCAGGAGGTGCCAGGGATTCAACCCATGTTGGCTGCGTGCAAGGCAAGTGCCCCATCTGCTGTACTATCACTCGAGCCCCCTCAATTGAGCTTTTTTATTTATCAAATCATAAATTCATATAATTTATCACCATTTGCTATAAGAATATTCATTACTAGCCCACCTCTAAATTTCCATTTTTTGCTACAGAGATGATAATTTTTAATTCTTTTGGGGGACCCACACCTGGCATTGCTAGGAGCCCACCAGGACCATGTCTGAGGCGGCGAGGGGTCATGTAGCAACAGACTGAACCCAGCGCCCTGTGTAAATCAGGCATTTCCCCTGGAGTCTGTCCCTGTCCCCAAGATGATCATTTTCTTTTTTTTCTTCCTTTCTGGCAGATGGCAGTGGAGCCACACTTGGCAGTGCCCAGGGGCTATTCCCGATGGTGTGTTCAGGGGTACCCCTGCTGGTGCTCAGGGATGGTGTTGGGGACCAAACCATGGTCAGTTATATTCTAAGCAAGAGCCTTAACCTCAAACTCTCTCTGGACCCGCAAAATGATTTTTATTTAACTTGCTTTTCAAACAACCTGCTCATAGTTCCTTCTCAGTAACTTGTGTATTTTGCGGATCACTGGCTCTTGTGATAAAGAGAAAGTTAGATGTTGTAAATGTGAAAGTCTTTTGCTTCTTTCACATTTCCAGTCTTATCCCTCCTTTCAACATAGTCAGAGCATACTTTTGGCTCAGTTTATAATCATGCTTATGACTATGATTATTATTTCATAAACACCAGTCACAGCTGAATTAGTCATATGTTAACATAACATCATGATAACTTTTCTTCTATATAAACTTTTCCTGCTGAAATTATTGTCCTTTTCCTTTTCCCTGCATTTTTCAGCACTGAAAATTACTTTACCTTGAATCTCCCATTCAGCTGTGTAATCTAGAATTTTGGCTTCCTCAGATATTGTCTAATACCCAACAATATATCTCAACCATGCTCCAGTCTGATCTGGCTGTTCTTCATTTGCAATACAGAGGTGTCATTCTGGAAAAATCTTTTATTATCATGGGAATATTCTCCTTTCTAATATGAGTCCATTTCTTAAATCCTAACTCTTTTTGTTAGTTTTTATTTTTTAAAACAGTGGTATGGGAGAGCAGCTGTCATTTTGGGCTACACCTGGCAGTGTTCAAGGTTACTCCTGGCTCTGCACTCAGGGACCATATTGGAGAATATTTTTCAAAAGCTTGTTTTGAAAGATTTCTGGGAACCCCACTTTTTTTTAAATATCTCCCAGTCTGTCTGGGTTTAGAATTCTAGGCTAGAAATAATTTTCCTTTCTTTAGGGTTGTCAGGCATTGTTTCAATCCTTTCTAGCTTCCAGCACTATTGGTAAGAAGTCTGATCCCAGTTTAATTCCTCATCTTTCTGGTGACTGTGTGTGCCTCTCCTCTAGAAGCATGCAGGAATGTGTGTTTCATACATGATGTTCCACATTCCCACACTGCTATGTCTGAGATGTTATTTTTACCCACCACACTCAGCACTCAGTGAGTAGGTGGACCTCTTCTATCTAGAAAAATAGTCTAAGGAACACATTTTAGAATTTTCTTTCCTTCCTTAAGTGTCTAGCAGCTTAAGGAAGTCTAGCAATTGCTCCTTCTTGAAGGATTTTTTTTTTTTGCTCTGGCTACATTAACAGTTTACATTTTTATTGTCCTTTTCTGTTGTCTCACAATCATATTCCTAGATGCAGATTCTTTTTTTATTTATCCTGTAAAGGTTTCACTGATCTTCGGCCCAGCCGTGATCCCAGGAAACTGAGGAAGCTCAGTGGCATCAGGGGCCCTTCTCTTTCACTCTGGATTGCCATTTTGTTCCCTGGTCAGGACCCCGCCCCCACCTTCAATGATGCTTTGCTCTGTGTCCATGACTCACTGTAAATATACGAAGGCATCCTAACTGTAGGCACTTAACCACATAATAACACACAAGAAACAACTCCAGACTGCAAAGGTCACAATGGTGAAGCAATGCAGAATGCCACCAGGCTTACTGAGCGAAGCCGCTAGCTCAGATGACCCAACCAGCAATAATGAGCTAAATACCTCCCTGATAGGGAATTTAGAGAGGAATCACTGAAGATATAGAAGGAGCTAAAGAAAAAAGAAAGAAAAAAACCTAAAAACAAAAACAATGGACAGACTGCCAATAAAACACAAGAGGATTTGAGAGCAGAAATGAGGAAACTACAAACAGAAATGACAGATCTGAAACACTTGGTAGGTGAAATAAAAAAAAAAAGCTCACTGTAAGGCCTCAGCAGCAGAGTAACAGCTGCTGAGGACAAAATCAGTGAGCTCCAAGATAAGGTGCAAAAAATCTACAGACAAGAGAAGAACACAGAGAAAGCCTCAAAATCAACTGAAGAGGACAAGAGAACTTTTGGACAAAGTCAAGAGGAACAATATAGGAATCATTGGGGTCCCAGAAGGTTGAAATGACAAGCCTGTTGTAGTAGCAACAGTTAAAGCCATCATCGCTGAGAAGTTCCCAGGACGCGTGCATGTATCCAGATCCAGGAGGCCCCAAGAATACTAGCTAAAACAAACCCAAATAAAAATACTCCAAGACATGTCCTAATCTGAATGATGAAAATCAGAAGTAGAGATAGTGAAAGCAGCAAGAACAAAAAAGGAAACCATATACAAAGGAGTACTCTTACTATAATTGACAGCAGATTTGTCATATGAAACCTTCTGGGTCCGAGGACTATGGGGGGATATAGTGAAAAAAAAAAAAACTCAATGAAATGAATTCCTTACCAGCCAGATTCTCACCCTCAATTTTTTTCCTGAATCTTCAGTTACAAATACGTCTCATTTTTTTCTTGCCCTTTCCTGTCGCTGTGCTTCATTCTAGATTATTTACTATATTTTGAATTTATTCTCTTTAATCTACTATAAGTCATTCACTGCATTGGTAACTTTCCGTATTTTTTAAATCTAGAATTTAACAAATATAGTTGTACTTGCTGAATTTTTCAATTTTCTTTTTTTTTTCTTTTGGCTTTTAACCTGATGATGCTCAGGGGTTACTCCTGCTTCTGCACTCAGGAATCACTCCTGGCTGTGGTCAGGGGGCCATATGGAATGCTGGAGATTGAATCTAGGTCAGCTGTGTGCAAGGCAAATGCCCTTCCCACAGTACTATAACTCCAGCCCCTCAAATTTGGCTTTTAGCTCTATAATTACTATACATATTATAAGAAAAAAAACCTAGGACTTGTATGAGATTTAGACTTCCTTGTTTCTGTAATCTGCTTTGTGCTGGTCTGTTCCTTATGTGCCTCCCTGTTGGACAAGGAGGGTGTTAACTAATTCCTGAGAATATTTGTTTGCTTCTGCCACCAGGAAACTTGTGGTTTTCCAGATAATCCAGCTGATACTGCAAATCCTATCAACATTCCAAGTTCCTGCCGTTTACAGTATCAGCCTGGAACAGCAGGTGGCTCACTGGGCACCCTGTTGTGGTAGAATAAGGCTCCAGTCCTCCTAATCAGCAATACTGGCCATGAACACTGAACGAAGAAATGTTTTCAAAGGTTCTAGGAAAGTGATTTTGAATCTACAGATCTAGACCCGGCCAACCCATCAAGAAAAGAGACAAAGTAAAAACATTTTCAGATGTGTAAAATATTCAGAAAGCTTTCAGCTATGCTTTATGATAAAATTTCAAAGATGTATTTCAGAAAAATGAGAATGAGACAAAGAGGAAGAGCACCCATATGCACAAAAGACGAGTAAGGGCAGCATGCATCACAAGAAACGGCTTGCTGTGGAGCAGGATCAAGACACAAACTGGCAGGACATAGAGTATTCGTTTTACTCGACACTTGGAAGACTCTGAGTCTCTAAAATTTTGTGATGTAGAATTGTATAGTCTACTATATTTATAACATTGCACTCTTGTCTAGTCTGAATAGCATTTGTACAATCATGTAGTTTAGAATCACTCCACATTAAAAAGATGGAGGACAACATAAGAAAGAACACACATGAATGTCAAAAGATAAACCCTACAACTTCTTCATGGTAGAAATTTTATCTTGAAAAAATTGAAAAATGGTGGGCTAGAGCAACAGGTAAGACGTTTGCCTTGTATGCAGCTGAAGGGGTTGGATCCTTGGCATCTCACATGGTCCCCTGAGCACCACTAGGAGTAATTCTTGAGTCCAGAGCCAGGAGTAACCCCTGAGCATCACTGGGTGTGACGCAAAAAAGCAAAAAAAAAAATTGAAAAATGGAATAATGAAAAAGAAAACGAACACTAAACATCAGATTTTTTTCATGGTGGTAAACTACTAAAATGTAACTTAAAGTTGATAGTTAAAGCTCAGTAAGGATGTTACATAAAAGTAACCCTTACTGCTAGGAAAATGAAAAATGGCAACAAATTGAGTGGTAGAGAGAGGGAAGGTATCTGACAGATGAATGCACCAATATTTATATTTTCCAGTGCAGAGTTCATAATACAGTGTAGAGTTGGATGACTGTAAAGGAAGATAATAAAGGAAGATAATCTGATTAGTCACAATCTTATCATCAGAAAAACTCAACGCAGACCACTGAAAGTGGTTACAGCTGGGAAATATGGCTAGGAAGAGCCAAGTGGAGGTAAGAGATCAAATGAGTCTGATGCTCTTTTGTTTTTGCATTTTTAAGAACCATAAAGCATCTCTATAAATAAAAGTATTTTTACTTGTTTCTAGAATAGAATCATTTCTATAATAAAAACAAGGCCAATTACCAATCTTAAAGAATAAATAAGTTTAAAGGTGAAAAAGAATAAGTTGTATATACTGAATTGCTTTAATTTTCCCCTGCAATCCTATCAAAGTCATACAATTATTATTCTAAAAAATTCCAAGAAATATTTTTTATCAATTAAGTATTATGCTATCACACAAACAGCGGCGGCATTTACCTGGAAAAATATATACATTGTTTCCTTGGCCTGGAGTGAAGAGTTGCCCATCATGGAGTTTCACTGGCCCAAATGGACTTCCACTGGCAAATAAACACTTTCCCTGTTACGAAAAGAAACAAATCTAGGGTCAGACGGATTATACAGTGGGCAGGGAACTTGTCTTGCTTGCACCTGACAGGGTTTGATCCCCGGCATCCCATATGGCCTCCTGAGCTTACCAGGAGTGATTCCTGAGCACAAAGCCAGAAGTAAGCCCTGGGCACCATTGGGTATGGCTTAAAAAAAAATTCAATTTTGTTGAGCACTCGAAAAAGTAAACTTAAACTAAAAAAACCGAATTCTTAATGCAACATACATGATTACTATACAGCACAATCCCTTTAATATTAAAGAACTTACTAGATTTGTTTTATTTAAGTACACATTCAAATGAAGCTGAAAAGTAGCTAATGGTAAATAAACGGACTCTTCTATTTCTTTTATTTTAAAATGTGAATTGCAAAAAAATACCACCTAAATCTCAAACAAAGATTAGGGCTGGAGAGTCAGTGCAGTGGGTAGGGCATCTGCCTTGCCCTATATAGTCTCCTGTGCACCACAAGGAGTAATTCCTGAGTGCAGAGCCAAGGGTAACCCCGGAGCAGAGCTGGGTATGCCACCAAACAAAACAAAAACAAAACCTCAAATAAAGATTGATATAAACACCTTTAAATAAAAGGGGGAAATAAAAGTTAAATTGCTGTCATACACAGAACTTCTGCTAAACTGTCTCTATATCAGATGCTTTATTTTTGTTGTTGTTTGTTTTTCTTGGCATTAGTGTATGTATGTATGTATGTATGTATGTATTTTGCTTTTTGGGTCACACCTAGCTATGCACTGGGGTTACTCCTGGCTCTGCACTCAGGAATCACCCTTGGTGGTGCTCAGGGGACCATATGGGATGCTGGGAATCGAACCTGGGTTGGCCGCCAGCAAGGCAAACACCCTACCCTTTGTGCTATTGCTCCAGCCCCAGTATTAGTGTATATAACCTCAGGGATTTGACCTCTGAACAATTGAGATGTCTACAATGTACAGCCGACCTCGACCGACCCAGGTTCAATTTCTCCATCCCTCTCAGAGAGCCCAGCAAGCTACCGAGAGTATCCCGCCAGCATGGCAAAGCCTGGCAAGCTACTCGTGACATATTCAATATGCCAAAACAGTTACCAAAGGTCTCACAATTTGTTGTAAGACGTCATTGGTACTCACGCTAGCTCGAGCAAATCCATGAACAATGGGAGGACAGTGCTAGAGTGCTACAATGTACGGTATATTACTTACAGGAGGCACACTTTCAATTTCATAATGATACACGGTTTAAGTGTGGAAGGCAGAGGGCGGTACTTGTTGTACAAGATGATTGCCCTGGCATTGCAGTTTAATACAGCTAAATAATTTTCTTAAGATAACTATCATTATTTCTGTCAATTGTATGTCACAAAAAAATGTTTGACGATCAAGTCTTGTTCATGGCTAACACCATGCTATCTCAACTACAACATAAATAATCATATTGATTACTACGGTGGCACCGTTATTACTATCGTGGCACTGTGATTACTATTGTCCCACTTTATAAATGGCTTTATAAAGATAAATAACATAACACTTTATGGGAAAATGTTATGTTCTCATGATATTAGTGGATTTGGAAACTCAGAATCTCCTCTAGAATGGCAAAATTCAAAAGCAATTCATACAGATGACCTTCTCCAGGTCATCTTTCCTTCCTTCCTTCTTCTTCTTTTTTTTTTAAAGTAGGAGTACTGCTATTTATTCAGACACTGATTAGCTGATTGAACCTTCTTTTTTTTTTTTCTCTCTCCCATTTTGGGCCACACTGGCTGTGCTCAGGGGCAGTTCCTGGTAAACCATATGGGATGCCACGTGCAAGGCAAATGCCCTACCTGTTGGACTGTCGCTCTGGCCCTCCAGGTCATGTTTTTCTCCTCCACCCCCGCCCCATAATCAACATATAACTTAGTAACTGTTTTGAAAACCAAGCTAACCTATTCTTTGTTCCAAGAGGAAACAGTCACTAAAATATAAAAGCAATCAATTAAAAAAACAAATACTAAAAATTTTTTCAGAAGAAAATACTTTTTATCACGAAACAGTAGAGGGGGTTAGAGTAACACCAAGACACTTCTTTCCGAAAATCAATATTATAATAAACATTTACAAATATGTAAATATGCCATTGTTTTATGTGACACTAAAAACTTAATGTGAAATCTACCCATGACATACTTTTTAATCATTTTAAACAGGGCGTAGGGCGACTGCCTTACACGCGGCCAACCCAGATTTGAATCCCTAGCACCACACATGACCCCCAAACCTCTGAGTGCAGTGCCAGGAGTAAGCCCTGAGCACTGTCAGATGAGGCCTCAAACCCATAAACAAACAAAAATAAATAAAACACACAAAAAAAGACAAAAGACAGTAGCTTTCAAAATCACACAGACTGAAAGTTGATAGTCTTTTTAGAGGTGCAACTCTAAATTTATCAAAGAGTACAAAAAAACCTTATGGAACTATATCAAATGAGTCTTCTTGGTTTTTTTTTTTTAATCCAAAACTATGTATTCAATTAAAAAATATATATCTGAATAAAAATTACTAAATAAAATTACTAAAAATTTTACTAAATAAATAAAATTACTAAATATTTGAGCAGCCTTTTTATTAGAGGTATATATACTACTACTCAAACATTTTTTCTGAAATACCAAAGTCCACAATACACTGAATATACATCAGTAATTATTGTAACTGTTAAAAACCAACAGTCGAATTTGGGGGCCAGGGAAACAGTAAGGCAGTTAGAGCACTTGCCTTGCACATGGCTGACCCAGGTTCGATCCCTGGTAACCTATATGTCTCCCAACCCTGCCAGGAGTGATTCCTGTGTGTAGAGCCAGGGTTAACCCCTGAACACTGACAAAGATGGCCCCCAAACCAAAAAACACACAAACAAACCAATAGTCAAATTTAAAAAAATGTATTTACTTATTTTTGGTTTGAGGGCCAAACCCAACAGTTCTCAGGACTTATTCCTGGCTCTGTGCTTAGGGGGCTACTTCTGGCAGGGTTTGGCGGACAATATATGTCGCTGGGGATTGAACCCAGGTCAGCTATGGAAGGCAAGTGCCCTACCTGTACTATCATTCTGATCGTCAACAGTCACTTTTTTGGGTTTTGTTTTGTTTGGGGCCACACCTGGCAGTACTCAGGGGTTACTCCTGGCTCTACTCTTAGGCATCACTCCTGGTGGTGCTCAGGAGACCCTATGGGATGCTGGGTGTCAGAACTGACTAGGCGGCATTCAAGGCAAGTGCCTTACCTGCTGCGCTATCTCTCCGGCTCCAAAAATCATAGTTTTTGCTCAGAGTAGAGAGATGCAGGAGCTAAAGGAATCCTTAGAGAATGTATACATATATATATAATTTTAATAATGTATATATACATATATATTTTAATAATGAGGAGAAAAGAACGCTAAACATTCTTGCTGAATGTTCAACACTCATCGAGAGAGCATGAGGCCTGGTGTCAGAATGATCTGAGAGTGACCTCTACTCTCTCTGGCTGTGGTCTTCCAACTGTTTCAAGCTGATTCCTTCCTCAATTTTTATAAAACTCAGTAGAATATGTAAAAATATATTTAAGGAAGCAGAACTGCTGCCAAGAGAGTGAGAATTTGGAGAGATGAGATATTTAAGCTCCAAAAGAGAAAAATGAAGATATAAGGATCCAAGATTCAAAGCTTCCTCCATCAAAAATGATTGGTAATTTCAAAGGCAAATCGGTGGCTGAGAGCCTGAGGAGCAAACCTGTCAGGAGTCTCATGATGACAGTAGAGAAAAGAAGTACTGAAGCTGCTCAGGCACATTCAGGTGAGGAGAGCTGATCAAGGGCTTCTATTCATAACCAAACAGGTACAATTGAGAAAGGGAAAAAGTGTGGAAAGAGGGCGATCTCACCAGAACTATATCCTCTCTAGACTCTGGTGTGATGCTCTAGACCAAGCCTCCAGACATAAAAAACCATATGGAGGCACTAGAGAAGTAGTTCAGTGGGGAGGGTACTTGCCTTGTACACAGCTGACCTGGCTTTGATCCCTGGAATCCCAGATGGCCCAGGAGTATCACTGGGTATGACCCAAAACCAAAACCAAACAAAACATACGGAGGAAGTAAACTTCATCCCGAGCTTCAAATTACTGATACAACTTCTAATCCGTACTACTGACCACTCAAGTACTTAAAAAACAAAACCTCCCCCAAGTGATAGTACAGTAGGTAGAGCACTTACCTTGCACACACAGCTGACCAGGGCTCAAGCCCCAGCATCCCATGTGGTCCCCCAAGCACTGCCAGGAGTAATTTCTGGGCACTGGGCTAGGAATAAGTCCTGAACACTTCTGGGTGTGGCCCCAAACCAAAAACAGACAAAGGAAAAAAAAACCTATTCCAAACCACCCAGTAATATTTTCCGGGGTTTGAAACAGCTAGGAGATGCTTCCCACTTTTGGAGTCACCCATGCCTCCTTACTCTGAATGTGCAACTTCCCCTTCCATTTTCAAAATGTGTATTCCATTTCGAGGGTCATCTGCAACCCATATTGGAGTGCAGAACTCATTTTCTTTCCTTTCAAAAAACTTGGGGAGGAGCCATACTCCAAAGTGCTCAGGGGTATTCCTGCCTCTGCACACAGGATCACCCCTGGTGGGGCTCTGGGGACCACATGGGATGCCAGAATCAAACCCAAGTCGGCCGCTGCAAGGGAAGCTTCCTACCTGCTATAGTTTGGCTCTGACCACTCCTGTTATTTCTTTACAGAGTTCTCTTCCTTTACTCCCTTCTCATATTTTCTAAAGAAAACTATTCTTCTTCATTCTCAAATAAAAGGTGGGGATTAAAATGTACAGAAAATGTTAAATAGTAAGGTAACTATTCCAGCAATTTGTATCACAAGTGATGATCCATGGATGCGTGCTGTAATCTCTAGGGCTACCATGAAAAGAATTATCAAGAAGGTTTAACGGGTTTATGGGAGAAAAATATCAGAATAACCCAAAAATACAATTATTATTATTACCTCTGTAAGAGTATATGCTTCTTCGGCTGTGCATTCAGCCTTCGCTGTGGGATTACTTAATGCAAATATTATAGGCCGTTCATTGATACTAGCCATGGCTTTGATTACTCCAGGAGTGAAGAGGGGGCCAGCTCCTGCCACTCCTATAATAAATGAGAAAAAAAAGACCTCATTACGATTAAATAAAGCCGTTCTTATTAACAGCACTTCTACAAGAGGTTTACCAAAACAAAAACACAGGAAAACAAACTCTAATGACAAAAAGAGGTTTTATTCTGCTGATACAAAGCTATGGGAACACAGGTTTAAAACCATTGGAAAAAAATTCTACTCTGGGGCACCCTCTGGAGCAGAGTGGGCCAAGCCCCTGCCCTGCCAAAGCCCAGCAGCTGCGCTCACACCCTTCAGCTGCCGCCGTGCCAACAGCCCAACTCCACTGACGCGAGACTATCTCTGCAGAGTAGCCGAGGCACACTGGTCTTCAGGCTAAGAACTTGGGGTCCTCTTGGAGGGTGGCCTCCTCCCACCCCCCAGCCCCCAAAATTCCAGAAGCTCTGGCAGCCACACCTACATCCCATAACTGCCGCCAGGCAAACTCATGGCCCAGTTAAAAATCCTGTTATCTCTGGATATTGCATTTAAAACCCCCCCAAAATCATTGTACTAAAAAAATTAATAATACATTTTAGTACAATGTAGAACTTTCATAGTTGAGAGAAAAACAAAAATAATTCAGAAAGCCTGTGAAAAGGAACATGATTACTTAGCCATGCTGGGAATTCATGATGACCAAGTGATACCTCAGTTGAGTAGCTTATCAGCACATTCTCTAAGGTTACTTATATCTAATAGTCAAAATAACTTAATTTTATATCTATTTTATAGACTGATGTGAAGAATAATATGGATTCAAAGACCAGAGCTTTAGTGCTTGCTCTATCACTTTTGGCTCTACTCAAAATTCTTGGGCAAGTTGCTAAACATTTTTCTCTTCATATGTTAAAAAAAAAAGGAATTTAATCATGAGCAGCACTGTCTAGTATGTATATGTACACAGTATAGAATATGTATATGTATACATATTCTTAGGAGCCCAGGAGTTCTGTTTTTTTGGGGAGAGGGGGGCACACCTGGCGATGCTCAGGGATTACTCCTACTCCTGGTTCTGCATTCAGGAATTACAATGCTCAAGAGACCATATGGGATGCCACGGATTGAGCTCAGGTCAATTGTGTGCAAGGCAAACACCTTACCCTCTGCACTATCTGGTTCCAGGAGTCCATGAATTCTAAAGTATTAAAATGTTTCCAATTTTTTTTTTGTTGTTGTTCTTCAGAATCTATGAACACTCAGTAAATGAGATGATCTTTGTTTGGGGGCCACACCTGGTGGTGCTTGGAGAATACTTATGGTTCTGCATTCAGGGATTACTCTTGACAGGTTAGGAGGACCATATAGGGTGCCAGGGATCAAACCCAGGTCAGCAATGTGCAAGGCAGGTACCCTACCTACTGTACTATTTCTCTAGGCTCAGCAATTGTTTTTTACCGTTCAACATTGAATAGAGATCCTATACAAAACTGATAAATTTATGAGAAATGGTTCAAATTTTACAACTGTGTTTGACATGACATAGTTCCTCTTTTAAAGACTTCTACATTTTTTCCTGTGAGCTTATTAATCCATGTGGTAGGCATTAGCTATCTTAGGTAATGACTGAAAATACACCAAAAGCTTTCTGATTTGTTAATAAAAATCTTTTACTGCAGAGAATTTTCTAGTACCATCTGTCATATTACATTGGTCTTATTCAGATCATAAATGCAATAGTCGTGCCAAGTTTAAAGCAAAGTACATAGTTTCTAACACTTAATGCATACAAGCAACATCTGCTGCTGAACTTCATACACTGTATGCAAAAGGCTTTCACACAGAAAACGCAGATGTGAAAAACTGGGAAAACCAGTTATTTCATTTCAAGATAGAATGAATGGCCATATACAATTAATAGAATTATTTGTCATAACTTTACTTACCAATTATAGCTGAAGGCTTAAGTGTATTTACTGCCTCTTCAAAGGTTTCAGGTATGTTCGGCGGTGGCGAGTGAGCGAATGCTTCCTGATGACTCTCTATGTTAGCTTTCCGTCCCTGAAATTTTGGATTAAATACAGTATTTCTCAGTAAATACTTATTGAGCAATAATGAAAAAGCCACCATTAATAGTTATATATTGGTTCTATAATAAGAATATCTTAATTTAGTTTTTACTATAACAAATACTTTCCAATCTTATCTTTATAGTGTCTATATTTTTCAAATCCCAATATGAAACATAAATCAAATCCCATTATAACCCATTATAAGCTTTCTAATCCCTCCCACTCTAGTAAAATCCTAAATCCAATATCAGTAAAAAAAAAAAACCCTATGTATTCTTATCAGAAACTGATGCATTTTTTGCATTCAGAAATTTTTATTATTTCTTTTGTCTTGCATGCGGCCGGCTTGGCCAATCCAGGTTTGATTCCTCCATCCCTCTCAGAGAGCCCAGCAAGCTACTGAGAGTATCTCACCCGCCTGGCAAAGCCTGGCAAGCTCCCCGTGGCGTATTTGATATGCCAAACACAGTAACAACAAGTCTCACAATGAAGACGTTACTGGGCCCACTCGAGCAAATCGATGAACAATGGGAGGGCAAAGCTACAGTGCTTTTTAAAATTATTATTTCTATTTTTGTCATTAAAAGTTATATCAAGTATAAAAAATATTTTTTTATTCCACAACTAAACAAAACTTATAGTCATACAAAGTACAAAAAATTAAGACTACAAATATTTTCTTTGATTTTGCTACCAAATAGATTTAGGTCAATCAGATTTGTTAGTGAATGAATTTCAGAAAAAAGCAATGGGATCTCAGAGTTTTTGGGATTTCTAAATTTGCAAACAGACTTGTGCCATTAAGGGGTCAGAAACAAGAAGAAATAGGTTCTAGTTCAAAACTGGCTGAACGAAGTAACATGCCTTCCTCCCCCAATCCTAGGTCAAAAACTAAGAATTACATGAAAAGTCAGGAGAGAGTCTTCTGACAAACTAGAATAAAGAATCTCTCAGCACACACTCTGTGACAATGGCAGAGGGAAGGGGGTTGGTGCTGATGGTGGTTAAGTTTCATGCATGAAACCCTATCTACAACAGTACTGTAAACCACAGCGCCGAAAATTAAAAACAAATAAACAAAAAATGCCTGCTACAGAAGCAGGATGGGGAGTGGAAGGGAAACTGGGGACACTGGTGGAGGGGAGTGGACACTGGTGATGGGATTGGTGTTGGAACACTGTGTACCTGAAACCCTCACTCAGCAATTTAGAATAGTACCAGAAATATTAAATGTAAAAGTAAACTGGCTGAGAAATCTTGGTCTAGATTTTGAAAAAAGCGATAATAATCTTCGTCCCCCCTCCTAGCAAAGCTAACTTTTTTTTTTTAAATCAGATCTCCCAGAAAAAGCTCAGTAAGAACCAGTAGCAGAATGACCATCATCAACTGGCTGGGAAGTATATTACGGTTAGAAATACAGCCCTAACAGATGCAGTTTTCAGAACAGAAGATTCTTGTATTTGCCTCAGAAAGATCACTGCTCTTCCCTATTGTGATTCAACAAGAAACCAAAAAGGCAGCCATTGGTTTTGGATCACCTGGAAAAATGAAGTCTAAAACCCATAAGTTAAGCTATTTACACACAAAAAAACCTAAAGTCTGAATTTGCAGAGGCGCAGGGAATTTACTTTTGCTGAAATCAGATTCATTCATCCTGGAGCTGCGTAGTTAACAATACATATCCCAAAACCACCACCACCACCAAAGCAGCAGCAGCAAACTGCGTTCCAGCACTGAGACCCCCCAATTCACTTCCTCTGCAGACACAGTGTCCTCTAAGCTTGGCATTACAGAGAGCTTCAATACAGGACACAGTTCACTCGGGAGGCACTGCAGTTGGATCACCACCAGTGTAGACTTTCCAGCCAAGCTACCTGAGTGGGAAACCTACTTCCATCACTTACAAACTGATGACTGTGCAAAAAGTAACCAGAATTATTACTTTTTGCATCTTAGGGCCACATCTGGCAGTGCTCAAGGCTTACTCATTATTTCGTGGTCAGGGATTATTCCTAGTGGAGTTAAAGGACTATAGTGGGTGCTGGGAATCAAGCCTGGGCCAGCTGCTTGCTTCAAAGATGCAAATGACAATAATCACTGTACATTATATAGGGGGAAAATACAAAGCACTGTGTATTTTTATACATAACAAACCTAACTGTCCAGTACGTTAGTTATGAAACCTTTTACCTATACTTGATGTGTTGTACAGTGTATGAAATAAGGAACTCTTAAGCTAATAAAAAAATGGCAACCAGTGCTAAGAAGACAAGCAGGTCTCAAAGATAGCAAGTTAATCTGAGACTTAATTACCTATTTACTTTGGTAATATGTATCAGCTCTAGGGAATTGTTTCTTTTCTTTTTTTTTAATTGCTGCAGAGAATTATCATCTCCACAGGGGTAGAGAATTTCTGCTCAAAAAGCCTGGAGTAGCTCCTAAGCACTGCTGGGGTTGTCTCCAAAACTAAAGCAACCCCCCCACCAAAAAAACCCATTTCTGTCCAAAGAGTAGATGTACTGTTAACAATGTAATGAGATACTTCTGAGAAACCACTAAAAACTTAGTTTTATAAGGGTAAAATGTAATCTTCTCTCTAAGATGATCTGATTTCTCTTCCCCTCTCCACTGCCTTTGTGGCTGTGTAGCCCTGGAATCAAGCCCATGGCGTGGTTGTGTGCCCGCCAGGAGGTGCGCATTCTATAGTTGCAGTATGTGCACATACCTTGCAGTTACTGCACATCGTGCATGGTGCACTAGAGACCACACACCCTTCTGCAGTGCTGGGAATCCCACACGGCACAGACTCTGTGACCATGCTCAGCACATGTGGGCAGCCTTTGGGGTCAAACTCATGCATGCAAGACATGTGTTTTTGCCATTGAGCAATTTCCCTGGCTCCGGATATGACCTTTTTTTTTTTTTTTTAAGAGTCAACAAACAAAGCAAGCAAGAACAAAACTAGTGCCAACACAGACCCCATCATTGGTCTATTAAGTGAGTCTTCATAAAAACCAAAAGTAAAAGCATGAAGGGCCAGGGATGTGGTGCAAGTGGAAATGCCTTAGCTAGCCACGAGTAAGGCTCTGACTTAGCTCTCTGGCACTGCATGGTCCCTCAAGCATTCTCCTTCCTCCATGATCCCGAGCCCTAAATAGAGGCTGGATAATTCTGTTGAGAATGTAATAATTAGTCCACTATGGGTACAATGAATAAGATACAGGTATTTAAAATAAACATTTAAAAAAAAACAAAGCTAACATATCTTTAGCAACATTCTTTTGCTTCTCCAAGTTTTATAATACCTTACCTTATATAATAAACCAAACTTATCAACCATCCAAATTTTCTTCTGTGCTTCTTCTTCTGAGAGGCCATTTTCTACCATGGCCATGACTATAAGATTGGCAATTCCAAGAGCAGCCTGTCCAACAAACATACATTTAAACAATAAAGACTCAGATACGATGCACTATTTGAATTCAGTTTTAAGATTACACATTATGAAAAACGTTTGGTACATTTCTTCCCTTACAAAACAAACTTTTGATTCTTCGTGATATTCTCTCTGAACGTATTTTAATGATTTTATAAGAGAACTTGAACTAATATTCTCTATCTCCAAATCAGAAGTGTATTATGTTCTCTTATATAATGTCAACATTTTGCCCTTCTTTTTATTCTAAAGGAAAGCACTGATTTTAAATGCAAACATTTCCAGAAACATACCTCTCCTGCTCCAAGAAATAAGACTTTGTGTTGTGAGATTGGTTTACCAATAACTTTTTCTGCTGCAAGAAGACCTGCTAGAGCAACTGATGCTGTCCCTGTGAGAAAAATAGAGATTTTTAAAAATAAAAAATGGGCACATTAAAAACATTTAAAAATTAAGAATAAAAAACCTGAAGTTTTCTTCTTGCTTCACCTTGAATATCATCATTGAAGGTACAATATTTTTCTCGATATTTTCTCAAGAACCTGAATGCATTATGATTTCCAAAGTCTTCAAACTGAATAAGTGTGTTCTGTCCATATCTAAAAACAGCAAAACCCATAATGGTTGTGTTGAAAATACCACCATTAAACAGTTTTCCTGTATAATATTCCTCATGACAACATTTAAAAATAATTTAGAGTACATTTAGTTCATTTAAGGCCTTGTGTAAATTTTTCAGAGTCTATGAATGAATGAGCTGACTCAAAATAAGATCTCTTACTCATTCAAAAATAAAAATCTATGTGATGCCTAAATACCTGAAAAATATATGAAGTGCTCAATGAATGTAGCATCATGATGGGCCTATGGGATATCAGTTGGCATAAACTTTTCCCAAACATCTTAGAAGGGCAGCTGGCACAAGAAGTTTATCTTACAACTACCTACAAGTATATTTAGCGCCTCAGAGAGTCTATATTTGATATACATACTTGCATTAATTAGCAGTTAAAACAACAACACAAGAAAGTATATATATTAAATATTAAACGAGATAAAAAAATAATTGTTTATTGGCATTCTGAAAGACATCAACCATCTTCTGCTAAGTACATGCAAAAGATAGGGAAAGTTTTGAAAAGAGATGGTGTTTTTATTTGGGCAAAGAACAAAAAAAAAAAAAGAGGTAGAAAGACAAAAAAAGGAGTGAAGGTCACACTGGTGCTGGAATTGGTGGAACACTCAATGCCCAAAACAGCTGTACTATGATTAACTTTGAAAACCCCGGTGTTTAAATAAAGTTAGAAAAAAAAGAAGCCAGAAGCAAACAAACAAACAAACAAACAAAAAAAACAGAGTCCAGGAAGTTTTTTTCATGACCCTGAACTTTCAATAGTCTGGTTGTATATTTCAGGGCTTATATAAGAGGAAAAGGAAGAAACTGGCTGAAGCAGGTTGGAAAGAGAAGGAAAACTCTTGCATGTCTAATTAGAGAATGGGGGCTCTATTCTGTATCCAGTGTGAATTCACTGAAAGGTTCAGAGGCACATTCTTGTAAGAACCTCCTTCAGAGGATAATCTTGCAGTGATGTGCAGTATACAGCGGCATGGGGCGAGATGAGAAAGGCAGAGGCAGCGAGGAGGCTATGATGACAGGACAGGAAGATCTGCAGTTGCAGCTATGGAAAGTGAAAGGGATGACTACGAGACTCACTAGACTATTGGTTTCGGTGTCAGTACACACAGTAGGTACCTATCTGGCCATATTTCGACACTGTCTGTATACAAAGTTTCCAATTCTTCAAGACCTAGAATTCTCTCTCTGTTGCCACAATAGCCTTAATTACAACTCTTCTATAATGAATCTTAATCGTTATAGAATGAACAACAGAACATGAAGGTGAGAACCTATTACAAAAGAGTTGTTAAAATGCTGAGGTGGTCTAGATGACAAAATGCTGCTATTGGGTTATCCGAAGTAAGAAATTGAGGAGAAAGTGAGGAGACAGGAATTTCTGGGAAGATGAAAAAGCTTGTTTTAAAAATTAGACTTGGAAAGGGAGGTTTTATTTTTTAGCATATTCTGTATACCAATAATTTGAAGAGTAGAACAAAAATACATCAGAGAAAATGAGCTTGACTCTGGCAATACAGAATCACTGAGACTTTGAGCAAAAGAATAACAATGAGTTATTTTGAACAAAGCAAAGACCTGAGATTCTTAGCAAAAGAATGTGAAACTGACATTTTAAGATTAATCCAAGGGTAAGATGGAGGAGAATTGGAGAGGAAACATATTGAAGGTTTAGAAGAGAAATGAAGGAGATATGAGCATCTCCATAAAGGCAAAGGAAAGGGACGATCCACCTCCTGAGGCATTTAGGTGAGAGTCCCAAATGGAAAAGTTTGCTAATAGAATAGATGTTGCCATTATTGAAAAAGACAGGCAGTTTGAAAAGAAGGGAGTCATTTTGGACATGAGTATGAAAAAGTAGCAACAGAGTTAGACAGATAGAAGATTCGGGTTAACTGAAAAACAGATCTAATGGGCTGGGGTGATAGGACAGCAGTAAGGCCAGCTTGCATGTAGCCAGCCCGGGTTCAATCCCTGACACCCCATATGGTCCCTGAAGCACTGCTAGGAATGATCTCTAAGCCTAGAGCCAGGAGTAAGGCCTGAGCATCACTTTATATGGCCTACCTTCCCAACCCGCCTCCCCCTCCCGCAACTGTGCTCCTAAGAAAAACAGCTCCGAGATGGGAGGTACATCTGGATACAAGCCATATGGAGAAAGATCATATCTTATATGACTCAAAGAGAAAAGTACTATGTACTACCCACATTTAATTAAAAAAAAATTAAGAGAGAACCACTGAAGGTAACAAAATAAAAAAAAAGTAAGTCTGGGGATGAACCAAGTAGGAAAGTCTTTTGGTAGTCAAGAAAAGACAGAATTTCAAGCAGGTAAGAGTAGAAAACTCAGATGCTGCAGAGAGAGATACATGAATGGTCAGTGAGTTTAGAACATGAAAACGGCGTAAGAACTTCATTGTAGTGATGGGTATGTCTGGAGGTCAAGGGCTGAAGAGCTGAATAAAGTGAGCACTAGAGAAGCAGTGAACGCAGGCTCCCCTCAAGATACTAGGTAATTCAGGACAACCAGGGAGAAGGATGAGATCACTATATAGCAGCACATCTAATCAGGCAGGACAGAAGCAAAGGCTTCAAAATATTTAACCTCCTTCTTATCTTCACAAGAAATATAGAAAAAAAGAGAAAAAAGTTCATGGCTCCTTTTTTTTTTTTTTCTCAAAGACATGCTTTCATAGACTCAATTTTATAAAATACCTGTCAGTAATGGCTTTCATAAACTCATCAATCAGTTCATCATAACGCTGTGAGCGATCTCTTTTCTGATATAAACCCATATAAAAGGGATCTTTTAAGAGTTCCTATAAATAGATAAAATGTAAAAATAAATTTTGTTATATAATCAAACATATTATATAGTTATATAATAAAAAATTAAAAGCTAATGTAATTGTTTTATTTTCCCATCATCCCCAACCTAATATAATTTTTTTTCAACTTTATCACCCTTCTTCAAGAAACTTTTGTAGGTTTAATTCGCTATGTTCACATAAATACTGAAGTTGAAGTGTGAGACAAAGATTAACATCTAATTTCAAAATGTTCCCATTTTATTTCATCTTCCAAAGAGGTATGTACTAAAAAAAATTTTTTTTTAAATACAGGAGAGGATCAAAGAAGGAAAAGGATTTTACTCACCGGATTATCGGTTCCTACATCAATGCACACAGGCAGGCATCTATCGGGTCGTATCCCTGCACAGGCAGTGTACAAACAGAGTTTGCCTACTGGGATGCCCATTCCATAGACACCCAGGTCTCCGAGACCTAGAATTCTTTCTCCATCAGTCACCACAACAGCCTTAATTAAAAAAAAAGAAAGAAAAGAAAAGGAAAAGGAAAAAATTATGTAAGTTGTAAATCATCCAAAATGGGGCACTAAAAGAAAAACATTTTAAAGTCATATATTAAAATATTTTATAACATATATTTATTTTATACACAAATCATATATTTTCACTGACTTTTGAAAGTAAAAAAAAAATTTTTTTTACACTAACTTCCAAGAAATCCAAACAAGCATACTTAAATTCCACAGTTTCTAGAATCTAAATTATTTTTCTTTGGGGGTAGGGCTATACCCGGTGATGTTCAGGGGTTATCACCGCCTCTGCACTCAGGAATCACTCCTGGTGGTAATTGGGGGCCCATATGGTATGCTGGGGATCCAACCTCGGTTGGCTATGTACAGGGCCAACATCCTACCCACTGTACTATCTTTCTGGACCTAGAACCAAGATGTTGAAAAGACAATTAAAACTAAGTTTAACGTCCCAGTTTTAGCGACAGAATCATGTTATATCTAAAAGATCAACTTAAATATCTTTAGAAAGACTAAATGGAGATGTAAAAAACTACTTATAAAAGAGAGTACTATTTAAGAAAACAAGGAGTTCAGAAAATAAAATCTTAAGAACCTGGGGCAAACAAAAATATACTTAGTGATGGTGAAAAAGAAAAAGATCTACGATGGAAAATATACCTACCTACAAGTTTTTAATATGGTGCGTTTAATTATATAACCTTCATTTCTAGGTTACTAGATAGGACTAATGATTATACAAAGATTATTTTGGTAACAAAGGCATATGTAACAAAGTAAGCAAGATTACATTTTAAGATACTAGCAAAACACTAAAGTCTACTACATATTTTAAATAAGTCATTTCTTTTTTCCTCCCTCCACTGAGAAGGTAGACTGAGCAAGGTTTTTATTTATTAAATTTGGAACTCCTAAGAATTTTACCTTTGTGTAAGGATTTAAATTTAGCAAAAAAAAATTTCTAAGAAATACTTCCATACCCACCAGAATAAAATACAAAATAATTTTGTATTTTGTGTGATATTTTACTATATTTTCTCTGTTTAAAGTACTATTCATTTAAAAGGAAAGGGAATATAATTAGTTAGGAGACACCAATATTATAGACAGTTATACAATTATATGTTACATATTACAGGCTCACCCAGCATACTAGCTCCAATTTCTTTCCTAGAGTCAAACCAAACTCTTATACCAATAATCTATTTTATATTTATTACTATCATGATCTCCTCAGAGTACTACATCTGTATCTAATTTAAAAATCACGAAGAGTAATAACAAAACAAAACAACTGTAACTATTCTTGGAGTTTAGAACTTACAAGGAAAGAAAAAAACATTGTGAAAAGGAAGGTTTGCTATTAGTACCTTAACATGATTTTCTGGCCAGTTATCCACAATTGATCTAACATGACCTCTGTCTGAGATTGAAATAAATAATCCCCTGCAACAGAACAAAAACACCTTTGCATTTCACAATAATTTTTTTCTATTTTTTAGTAATTGGAATATTTAGGTATTTTAGTAAACAGCATGACACGGTATAATTTCCAAGCAAATTTTAGCTAGGTTAATACTAGTTTATTTTCAAACATATGTACTTCAAACTGTAATAGCATTGCTCTCACTCAGTAGCTGCAACAAAGATTACTTAGTGATATGATTAATTTTACCCAAGATAAAAAAAAAGTGCATCCATACCTCATGTTCAAATGAACACAACACACCACCAGTAAAAAGCAATTAAAAAAGAAGCTGTGAGTCCTGGCAAGCACGGGAAAGGCAGAACTGCTCAAACTAACTGAAACCAAGAATTTGAAGTAGTAAGGAGAAGATAAAAAGTGTAATTTCATATAAAAGATGACATCCTTTAAACATTACCAAAAAGTGAGGTAATTTAAAATTCATAGTATTGAGATAACTGATCCGTATTTAAAAAAAGAAAGAGAGGAGAGAAGAGGAGGGAAGGGAGAAGCAGCGGCTTGGCTTCTTCGTGCAGAGGCGCGGGCCAGCAGGTGACCAGCGCTCCCGCCCAGAGGTGTTCCCAGCACAGCTCGAGTCAGTTGAGTCCCTCAGAGCAGCATGACCAAACCATCTGATGGGCTTGAAAACACTGCCCAAGCTCTCCTCACCCCCTCTCCTCGGGATTCTGATTTGTTTGTAAGGAGTTTGGGTCAATTAACCAACCAAGATTTCCTGGCCAGCCTCTATGTGAAAAACGAAACATGAAAAAAAAAACAGTGCACAGTTGACTCTGCAAATGATGCGCAGCATCTACCTTCACCAAAGACCTTTCTTGCTCTGTATGGCTCACTGTAGCTCTCCACTCTGTGGACACATCAGAATGGCGCCAGGAGCTTGTAGGAAACCCCAACACCTGCACTCAATCCCAGACAGACAAAATCAGAACTTCTGTCGGCAGGACCCAGACATCAGTATTCTCTGTTTTTATTCATTTTCCTCTTTATTTTTTAGGTCAGGATTAATAAGCACTATTCTAAATAAAAAGGAAAACTTTTAATAAGAGTTGAATAGTTGAGTTACAGCACAGAAATGTTTTAGACATGTTAACTGATGGCAGTGCATAGAACAGTGTTCTCAAAGCGTCCACCAGGGAATACTGGCAGCGCCATCACCAACGTGTTCATTATGACTTAGTCCTTCAGATCTTTTGTTTTCCATCAACCGACAAAAGCTTTGTAATAGGAAGAAGAGGAAGAATGACAGGCATCAACGTTTGTCCAGGGGCCATGTCCAAGGCAATGCTCAGGGCTTCCTTCTGGCTCTGCACTCCTGGCAGGGCTTGGGGGACCAGATGGGATACTGGGGAGCTAACCCAGACAGCCAGGGTGACACAAACACCCTACCCACTGTACAGTCACTCTAGCTCCAGGGACAGAACTATTTGAAATGAAAATTTACAAAAATACAGAGAATAAACCAAAGAAATCAAAATAAATAACAAAAAAATACTTATGAAGTGATCAAACATTAATTTGGCCAGTTACAAAATGCACAATCCATAGTAAACCTAACTTAAAGAGGGTAAAGAATGGAAGACATTATTTCTACAAAAATAGAAGATATGTACATGTGTGTTTTATTAATATTTTAAAATTCTTGTGAGGTGTAAAATGAGGTTGGGATATAACTATGACATATAAAAGATAAATGTAATAGATGTTATGGAGTTATTTTTTAAAAAATACAATAACCAATTATTGTATATTTTAAACAAACATATTTTAAAAAATAAGCCTTACTTAGGTCTTCTAAAGATGTGTCCATATTGTGAACAGGCAAGACCAACTGTTGGTGTATATACAATTGGCATCAGAGTTTCAATATCATCTTGTAGAATTCTGTAAAACAATTTCTCATTTCTTTCCTGTAATCCCATTATATAGATGTACCTGAAATGAAACAGTAATAATCTGTTTAGTCTGTATCAGTAATAGTCTGTATCAGCCAGCACTTCATTTAAAAAAAATTCACCTTTGAAAATTAAATTCAAACATTTAAAACTGAGCAACTCTTCTCTCTGAAAATAAAGCTCCAAATAACCATTATTTAACACTGAGGAATAAGAATTCACAAAAAATAAATACCTACTTAAACAGTAGATAAAGATGATGATAGTAACAAGAGCGAACATTTATTAAACCCTTATGAGAGTCAGGCTCGCTATACTAGGCACTGGAAATGAAGACTATGCTATCCTTAAGTATCTAATATTTAAGGAGTTGGTACATAAATAAGGAAGAAAACTTAATGTGGCATTAAATTCCAATATTTACTAATACTATGTGACCAAGCACTGTTCTGAATGAGGGGGTGTAAGAAGTAATCCTTTGTCCTCATGGACTCTATAAGCTAGTATATTTACAGACATTGCAATTATCTATAAGAGAGGAAAATTTCTACATATATATGTACACGTGTGCATATGTACATATTAGATAATTTTTAAAGAGTTAGAGTTTGGGAAACAGGGAAATGCTGGCTTAAAAATTAATTAAATGGACTCATCTTTCCACAAACTTATTTTTCTTCCTGTTTTCTGATCAAATTGGAATCACAAAATACATTCTTTATTCCTTCCCATCCTACATACTCATGTCCTACCTAATAAGTCACTGTGTCCTAAAGAGTACACCTACTAAACCGCTTTTGTCCCTGAACCTCCACTCAGCCCAAGCCACCATCATCTGTCACTTGGAGACTACCTCAGAGGCTTTCTGACCAGTCTTTCATGCACAGATCTGCTTCCCTACTCCAACAGATTCTCAGGAAAACGTAACTGATCATTTCTGTTCTTACATGCTTTTATATGCCAATATAACATGGTAAAGTTCCTAAAATAGATAAAAGACCTATTTTCCAAACTCATCTCCATAGTGGACTGAGTTCCTCAAATGCATCATAACTCTTACCTTAGATTTACTCCTACGATGTCCATGCTGCCTGGAGCACTTACCTAGGTACAAGCCCTGTACTCATTCCTTCCCTACTGCATTTACACACATTAGATTCCCCACTTCAATTCTGCAACTCTAACTCCACTTCTTGACTCTGTGCCTTGCCTCTGGCCTAGATGACACATGAGCTAGAGTCTATTGCCCCACAGACTTCTACATTTCCAGGAGCTAGAAGAGAACATGTACTAAAACTGGTGTGCAAATGTCTTGTAACCCATGTAAGTAAACAAAAAGAAGGGATTTCATTTAGAAGAGGAATATTTTCTATAGCGCTGCTGTGGGCAAAATGCCAATAATTAGAAACGAAAGGGAAGACATCTTTTAACAAAATAAACACCTGGGCTTTAAGACAGCATAGCTTTGTCAAACAGAAGCAGAAATATTAAGGAAAAGAAAGAAATTATGGGACCAGAGTAACTGTACAACATGTAAGGTGTTTGCCCTGCATGAAGCTGACTGGGTTCAATCCCCAGCATCCTATATGGTTCCTCGTACACGGCCAGAAGTGATTCCTGAGTGCAAAGCCAGAAGTAACCCCTGAGCACCACCAGGAAAGAAAAGAATTAATTACGTATCAATCATGTGACAGCAAGAAGTTGTGCAAGTTCTGAGTCTCTTTATTTTTCTTATTTTCATTTCACTTTGGTCACAGAGTGCCTTAGATTCTTGTTCTAACTTAGAGTTGTTATAGGTTAGAAATCTTAAATATGGTATTTCACTCTCTGTCACAGCCCTCTGACCTTTGATTAGCTATATAATACCCTTGTTTCATCGTTCTTCAAAGAATCTACAGAGCTTCCTGATGGCTCAATTTTCTCCTATTCTATTAGCTCTACCTAGGCTCCTCTTTTCCCAAATGCATTCTGCACAGAAGTTTTACAACTGTTAGGAATTCTCACAAAGAATTAGAGTTGTAAGAAACCTCTTGGCATTTAGGAGCCACCCCCTTCGTTTTGGGGCTAACTTCTAGAGGGCTCAGGGGGCTAAACGGAGTACCAGAGATCAACCCTGGGTGAGCCACATGCAAGGCAAGCAGCCTATCTGCTGTATCTCCAGCTCCCTGTACATTCTCTCCAGGCATGGGATGAATAATTTTCATTTTCACAATTGGAGGGCTTAGAACAAAACCTACCAAAAAGCCGCGAGTGGACAGAAGTTGAATGACTTGTTAGCATTTTTGTCAGACTAGCAAATCCCAAAACGTGATTCACTGTTATGTACCTTTCAACTCTTCTGTTGAAAAGGCATGTTGCTGGGCAGAAAGGCATCAAAATAAACAAGATCATGCACTAGGCTTTCAGTGTCTACTTGTCCTTTTAACCTGGCCTGTCTTAGCATCACTTCACGGCTAAATGTCTCTTCCAAAAATTTACATTCTCCTCACAAACTCCATTCAACCTTGGCGCTACTAAATCTGAACATGACCTTCATATTCTATATCAAAAAGAAAATCAAGGTCATGGGGCCAAAGAGATATTACAGCAGGTAAGCTTTTGAATGTAGCTAACGTGGGTCTGATCCCCAACACCCCATATGTTTCCCCCAAACAATGTCAGGAGTGATTCCTAAATGCAGAGCCAAAAATAATCCCTGAGCATCGCTAGGTATGGGCCAACCACCCCCCATCCTCCCCAAAGGAAAGAAGAAAGTCAAGGTCATGACAGATATGATGATATCTCACAATCTCTGCTTCAGCATCTACATTATCTTTGGTCTTTGGTCTTGTTCAAGGCCAGCCTTTTTTTTAACTTTTATTAGTGAAGCGAAATAGTTTTTAAAAATTTACTTAGAGAAGTATGGGGGGGGGCGGAGAGAGAGAGAGAGAGAGAGAGAGAGAGAGAGAGAGAGAGAGAGAGAGAGAGAACATAATACAAATTCAAAAGAGAACATGGTATTCTTCAGAGTGGAAAAAATCTGACCCTAAACTATACTCCACCCTCTCTGCCTCCACTCCTCCCAGTGTCTGAGATCTTGTTCTGTCAATTACTTTCTACTAGACCTTTCCTCACACTTATTAGTGTTGGCTCAACTTCTTTCCAGGCAGAAATATATACCCCTATATACAAATCCTGCTTCACTTTTTTGTGGATGTCTTTCTCCTCATCTCTGCTTCTTCAGAGAATTAACATTTACTCCCCTCTCATTTCTCAACTTATCGAAATCTTCCTTTTGTTCCATCACATCAAGGAAACGCCTCTTACCAGTCCTCAACAACTAATAATCCATACCAAATAAACCTGAAATATTTCTAATCCTGTCTTCAGACTGATGTCTTTACCCAGGACATTTTACACTTCTATTTACTCCTTCCTGCTGCCTGTAACATACTGTTTTAAAGTTCAGTCCAGACATCATTTTTCCCCTCGGTCCCTAAGTTGGATTAGGCATCCACCCCATTGACGCTTTAAATGTTCGGCATGTACCTTTTTTCTCAGTATTGAGCAGTATGGTCACAGAATATAATTATCTACTACTACATTTCTAGGTCTGGTGTGGCTCATTGTTTCAGCTTTCCCCAGGGCAGCTTCATTACTCTTTTGTCACTTCCCAAAGTGTCCAGGATTGGATGATACCTTACACAGTCATTCCATCTACTACTCATGTTATGTCTGCAGTATCTAGTACATTGGCACACAGTACACACATCATCTAAAAGCATTGCTGAATGAAATGGATGCAAATAAGTGTTTGTTTAAAACTCCATTCAAACCTAAAATGTTGATTTTAAGCATAACTGATCTCTGCTAACTTTTACAATAGTGAACACAAATAAAGTATTCACTAAATTAAACATAAATTATAAAAATTGTTAACTAAAGCACAACCCTATTGTAACTATATATTTATAATGCCATAATAACCTTGATGTTTCAATTTTCTGATCAGAACATCAATTAAAAAACTACACATCTAATCAACTCTTACTTTTCCAAAGGCCCACTCAATTTTTTCACGTTTCTGTGAAATCGTAAGGCTTGAATATCTTGTGTCTCTATTTTGGGAGGTAGAAGTCCTTGAAGACCAAGCATTTGTCGTTCCTGTAAAGTAAATGCCATTCCCTAAAAAGGACAAATAAAAGGGTTAAAATTACACTGACTGGGGTAGTAAAGGTGTTAAGACTGTAAGATGTAATTTAGATGTCAATTCAGAAAAATCAGCAAGATATTATTTTTGTCCAAGTGTCAAAAAACTTATAAGATATATCATATCTAGTAATGCTGAGCATAGTAAAAGAATTACTCACAGACTATTATTGAGATTATAGACTGACTGAGGATTTTGGGGATTTAAAGTATTCTTCAATTTTTTAATGTAAATACATGACATAACAGCGATTTTACTGAGATAGCCATCCTAGAGAAATATTTACTCCACACAGCAAAAACAATAAGATGAGTAGTATTGTTTAGAGTGCTCTGGGAAATTACTGATAAAAATAACACCAATTATGGAACAATCAAAATCTATGGTACCTTCTTATCAAGAATGCCATAGCGCTAAACCAGTATCTTTAAGTGTGTAGTAGAAGGGTCCCCTAAAGGCACAGTGAGGGAAGAAAAACAAGTAGCAGGGGCAGAGGAAGAGCTCGGCAGGCTCAGCACAGGCGAAGCTCTGCACTCTAGCACCGTGAGGTCTCTGGAGCACCGGTCAATCCTGGCTGTGGCCCCAGAGACAAACACGTAGTCAAAAAGGGACAAACTGCAAGTCCAAACAATTTTGCTTATAGATCTCCACAGAGCACATGCTATCTGCAGATGCAGGCACACATGGGAAAGGACAGCAGCCGGTCAGAGTTTGAAAGAATGCTAACCAAACTGCTAACAGGCCACCCTGGGAGAATAGAGGGCAGACGAATAGAAAAAGGGGGACCAAAGAAATGATACTTAAGAAAAGGTTAACAACTCACAGAAGGCCAAACATGGAACATACAAAATAAAGCGAGGGGAGAGTGGTGGTAGTGGGATGCAATGGATAAAAGGAGTATATTGTAAGGTGATGGATTAAAAACTGAATCTTGGTAGTCATCAGGAAGTAATGTATATGCTGACACCAAATTCTAAAGGAGCACAACTGAGACATAATATAGTGTCAGCTAGCATTACAACAAAAATTTAAAAAAAAAGTCAAATAAAGAGTCAGAGAGATAGTATAAAGATTAAGGTGCTTGCCTTGCATGCAGCAAACCTGGTCTGAATCCTGGCTCCACATACAATGTCCCTAGCATCACCAGGAGTGGCCCCTGAGCACAAAGCTAGGAGTACTGAGCTGAGCCGAAGTAACCTGAGCACTGCCAGGTGTGGTCACCAAATAAAAACCAAACAAAAAAATTACAAAACCCTCCATGTTCAAACAATCGAAGATAAAATTACTGAAAGATTTTTTACACCAAACCTTTTTGTCATAGGAAAATTCTTAAATTCCAGAATAAGAAATTCCAAAACCCTTTTCCTGTACTGGGGCAATAAGAACAACTAGTCAAATAACCAGAATTCATTTTTTCAGAATTTTGAAATTAGACAAGGCACTGGGAACCAGGGTTCATTTATCCAAGAAAAATGGCTGAACCATGGTAAGAACAGCAGCCAACTTCTGAGGATTTTAACTTGTGTTCTTCCATTTTCCACTCCGCTGTGCTACAGCAGCCCGTGAAAACGGGCATCCACTGTGAATGCCTGTTTCAATGACTGTTAAGTGACTCTTAAAACCAGAGACGTGGCATCCACTACAGAGCAGAGGTACTGTCTAAAATAGGCCCAAACCCAGGAACTGTCACAATTTACCTGTCTGACAGATCCCTAGCTGTGCTCAGTCACAGAGCTGTTTTTGACAGTTTCAACAGTCTCCTCCAGAAGAGCATTTTGAAACAATCAGAGGCAATGATTTAATAGGGCGACTCTTCAAGGCTGTGGTAGAAGTCGAGGGAAACAACATGCTAAGCCATACTGAGAAAACCCATGTGAAAAGAGATGTTCATGGGAAGGACAGGCCGGAGAGCTTATAAAGCTTGTACACGCTTCTAAGAACTAGGGCACATGCATGAGCTGTGGGCAGGCCTAGGGAAGCCCCGAGGTCTTTCCCAAATCTGGGAGGCCTTCAGGCTCAGCGGAAGCAGAAATGCAGGTTGAGGCAATCTGCCTTGGGGCTGGCTGAGTGTACCAACATAGACATGGCCCCAGGGAGGCGAACTGATTCCAGGTACTTGGGTCTCTGTCTAAATTATCAGCGGACTCAAGCTCATAGAACAGAAAGTTGCCATAAGAAAAAGACTCTAAAGAATTAGCTTAGACATGCTGAAAGTAGACTACAGATCAAACATGATTGCCACTCAATGCCTCTTTTGCAAACCACAACACGCAACAGGAGAGAGAGAACAAAAGGGAATGCCCTGCCACAGAGGCAGGGTGGGATGGGGGGTGGGAGGGATACTGGGATCCGTGGTGGTGGGAAATGGGCACTGGTGGAGGGATGGGCATTTTGTATATTTGAAACCCAAGCATAAAAATTTGTAAGTCTACAACTGTACCTCATGGTGTCTCCCTAATAAAAATTAAAAAATTAATAAAAATTTTTAAAAAAGAGGCAGACATAAGTAAGCATTAAAGAAAAGAGTACAAAAAAATAGCTTAGAAATGTCTACACAGACCAATAAAAATGCAGGTTTAACATAACTACAGAGGTAAGCAAATGAGATAGAAAAAAATGCACATTTGTTTGCTGCTCCTCTTTTTCTCCTTAAATAGACAACGACTTAAGGCAATAATTATAGATCTGCGTTGATGGTTAGACAATGTATGAAGATGTAATTTGTTTGATATAGTAGCATAAAAAGATGTGTGTGGGAAATGAAACTAAACATTGGCAAAGTTTCGGTGTCTTGCTGAAATTAAGTTGGTATTACTCTAACTAGGCTGTTAGAAAATTTGGTAAAAATGGTCACTGTAATTCCTAGGGGAAACTACTTAAGAAAATCACTTAGAAAGATGTAGTAAGAGAGAGGGCTGGAGTGATAGTACAGCAGGTAGGGCATTTGCCTTGCATGTGCCAAGCTGGGTTCAATCCTTAGTACCCAATTCAGTCCCCTGAGCATCACCTGGAGTAACCCCTGAGAACAGTGTGAGGAGTAAGCCTTGAGCACCACTGGCTGTGGCCCAAAACCAGAAGGGTAGGGGCAAGGATTTAAAATTCTATGCTGAAAATATCTATCACAAATTGAGAATAAAAAGAAAAGGCATTTAGAAAATAAACAGCACAATGGTAGACACAAATCATACCCTATTAGTCATTACATTAATGTAAATGGCCATGGATAAAATAAGGATACATTTATTTCCTTTCTACAAAGACATATTTTGGTAAAAGACAGGAAAAGATACATCAGTCAAGCAGGAACCAAAAGAGAGCTGAAGGAATTATATTATTCACACATAACTGATTCTGAAACATTATGATTTAAAGCGGACTCTCTGTAATAATGAAATGAGCCGATTCATTAAGAAAATTTAACAATTATGAATATACCCACATCTAATAAATTAAGCCCAGGACACACAAAACAGAATCTGACAAAAATAAAGAGAAAGACCATTTAACAGGTGTAAGACTTTAATAGCTCACTTTCGCTAAAAGAGAAAACTAGACAGAAAATCACATTCCTCTCTTACACACAAAATATTCCCCAGGACAGACCATATGCTAAACTATAAAACAAGTCTCAATAGATTTAAATGAATTTAAATCATCCAAATATATTGTCCTATTCAAACTACACACAAGGAAGTGGCATTAAAAATAAATAAAGAGAGATGGCCAGAGAGCATGCTTTGAATACAGGAGGCAGGTCTGATCCATCCTGGCACCACATGGTCCCTGAACTCAGGACTAGGAGCAGCCACTCAGCACCTCTGGTGTGGTCCAAAAATAAAAACAAAAATAAGAGGCTAGGGGCTGAGTGATAGCACAGCAGGTAGGGCGTATGTTTGCCTTGCACATAGCCGCCCCGGGTTCGATTCCCAGCATCCCATATGGTCCCCTGAGCACTGCAAGGATTAATTCCTGAGTCCAGAGCCAGGAGTAACCCCTGAGCATCACTGGGTATGACCCAAAAAAGAAAAAAAAAAAGAGGCTAAGGGCTAGAGCGATACTCCAAGAGGGTCGGGTGTTTGCCTTCTATGTGGCCAATCCCAGTTCAACCCCCAGCACTCCCTATGGTTCCCCGAGCACTGCCAGGATTGATGGCTCAGCACAGAGCCAAGAGTAAGCCCTGAGCACTGCGGGGTTTAGCCCCAAAATAACAACAACAAGAAAGAGGCTAGGGCTGGAGCCCATGCTGAGGAATTAAAAAATATCTGAACATCATACCCCCAATAACCACTCAGTGAAAAAGGAAAGCATGAGAGCAGTTAGGAGATACTCTGAGATACATTAAAACATTTACAGGGCCAGGGAGAAAGCTCAAAGGATCAGAGAACATACTGCAAAGAGGAGCACCAGGTTTAACCCTGGGCACTGCAGGATCCTCCAAGCACCCTCAGGGTGAACTCCTGAGCACTGCCAGGGGGAGTGCCAAAAAGAAAACATACCTGCCAAAACTTAAGGGGATATAGTATAAAGGCAATGCTTAGAGAAAAGACTGTACTAAAAAAACCCATGTATTCAGAATCTGGAAGATCTAGGGCCGGAGCAATCATACTGCGGGGAGGGCGTTTGTTTGCGTTGCAAGAGGCCAACTTGGGTTCGATCCCCGGCTTCCCAGATGGTCCCCTGAGTAGTGCCAGGGGTAATTCCTGAGTGAAGAGCCAGGAGTAACCCCTGAGCATCACTGGGTACGGCCCCAAAAGGCAAAATGAAATAAATACTTGAATAAAATAAAAATCTGAAAGATCTCTGATCACCTAAGTTTCTACTTTAGGAAACCTGAGGTGGGAGCAGGGAGGTGCTCAGGGGCAAAGCATATCAAAGGCTTTGATCCTGATACCACCCACATACAAAAAAAGACACTGCAAGGGGTCAGAGAGACAGTACAGTGAGGAAGGCACGTGCCCTGCACGTGGCCCACCCA